TTTGGGGAAAACTTGAGAACACTGAAGTAATTAATGACGTACTAGAGTACACTAAATCCCACTGATTCAAACTTTTCTGGAATTTGTGATGTGACCCTCTGCAAAGCTAGACTAAATTTTAAACTTTTTCTGTCTTTAGACAGTGAAGGTTTTCCCCTCCCCCTCTCTCTAGTCATTGAACACTTGAAAGGATATCACACAACTAACCACCAGTTTGGAATTGTGAGGTTAAGAAAGCCCAATGCAGGGCAGCTTGAGAAAACCTATGTCTTTGCCTCCACTTTTCTTCCTAAACCCTCAAGGACTGTGTTCATCGGTTTCTCACTGGACTGTGCTCTGCCTAATAAAGGCAAAGAGGTACGGACTCCTATGTGTCACTGTTCTATTTGTGCTGTACTTACTTGATTCTGACACTTTATTATCTAGGTTTACAGATGAGGAAACCTCAGGGAGGGTAAGTATATTGCTGTCACAGGGCTAGTAAATGGTGAGCCAGGATGTAAACCCAAGCTCTATAGTCTCTGTCCATAACCACTATGCTTTATTTCCTATACAGATATACTATGAATCTGTAATTATATTTACTACATTTTAGTGCAGTTATATTTAACCCTAGAACTCTCATGGGCCAGGCACTTTCTTCATCTTTGTAATTCTGCCTAGCAGTGACTGGGATGGCTACCCTGCTATCCACTACCAACTCTCTCTAGCACCAGACACTGTGGCACACGATTCATATATTTTTTATTTGTAAATGATCTTTGTTTGATATAAAAGATAGTCTGGCCAGGTGCAGCTCAGCAGTGGAACACCAACCTAGGATCCAAGAGGTCAAGGTTCAGNCAGTGACTGGGATGGCTACCCTGCTATCCACTACCAACTCTCTCTAGCACCAGACACTGTGGCACACGATTCATATATTTTTTATTTGTAAATGATCTTTGTTTGATATAAAAGATAGTCTGGCCAGGTGCAGCTCAGCAGTGGAACACGAACCTAGGATCCAAGAGGTCAAGGTTCAATTCCCGGTCAGGGCACATGCCCGGGTTGTGGGCTCGATTCCCAGTCAGGGGGTGCAGGAGGCAGCCGATCAATGACTCATCATTGATGTTTTTCTCTCTCCCCCTCTCCCTTCTNGCAGGAGGCAGCCGATCAATGACTCATCATTGATGTTTCTCTCTCTCCCCCTCTCCCTTCCTCTCTCTGAAATCAATATATATATTTTTTAAAAAGTTAACTCACAGATTGTAGTTTTATTGTCTTGTAGGACATTAACCTGTTCCATNAGTTAACTCACAGATTGTAGTTTTATTGTCTTGTAGGACATTAACCTGTTCCATATCTCTTTGGTGTCTCCAATATCATCCCCAGGTTTGATTTGTTAGGACTCACAGGGCTTGGCATGCAGTTCTACTCACAGTTACAATTTATTACAGTGAAAGGATACAAAGCACAATCCGCAAAGGGAAAAGGAACCTGGGATGAAATCTGGAAAAACCAGGTACAAGTGTCGAAGACTCCACTCTTCCAGTCGTGTTATGCACACGGGAAATGTCCACCGGGAAGCTTGTCAGACCCAGTGCCCAGAGTGTTTATCGGGAGCTGATCACTTAGGTAGTCTCTGCCTGGCACCTACCAAAACCATACTCCCAGAAGGAAAGCAGGTTTCAGCACAAACCACATTGTTAGCACAGTTTATGCACAGTGAGCCACTTATCAGTACTGGGAACGCTCCTTAATTCAAGTTCCCAGACGCCAGCCAAGGGCCAATCTTGTAAGCAGGTCTCTGAGGATAAATTGTCAGACTGCTATGTTAACTCTTTATGGCACAAGAATTTTATCCCAACATTCTTCATGCTGTCAACTTTAAGTTTTACTTTGACCGACATAATCCAAGCAAGCTGAATAATGTCCAACCAAACTTAAAAGCTACAAACACCAACTCAATAATATCAAGACTACTGCAGTTATTTAAAAAAAGAAACAAAACCTTTGTACTAATATTTCATATTTTCTTACTATATCTGCACTTCTGAAAGTCTTCTAATTTAGATGGCAATCACTTGGCTATTTAAACTTAAGGCACATATTAATAAAAAAGAAATGTTTCTGCAGGTAAGCAATACTATATAAAGATTAATTCCCTCTTTAGAATATGAAATACATTATTGTTTAAAATGTCCCCCAAATTACAAATAAGCCAAAATTTAGAAACTACATATCCTCTTTACATCATTGTACTTTTGAGCCTTTAAAAAAGATAACCTTTATTTTAAGCTCAAATATAACAGGCAAAATATATAACGTAGTATCTTTATTTTTTGAACTTTATTATGCCCCAGACATTTCTCTAATAATTTCAGATTTATTTTCCTATATTTTGTGAACTGCACTTTAAAATCAGAATTTTACAAATCTCCATATACAATACCAAACAAAATACAAACATTTTAAGCTTTATTAATAATTCTAAGGGGATGAAAATACAATTAAAAGCTGGCAGTTAACAAATGCATTAGAAGTTAAACATCTCTTGAATAAAAAAATAGGAAATATATTAATGAAGAAAGAAATCAGGGACTGAAGGAAGAAAATTTTCCAATTTTCTAGCAGCTGGTACAGTTGGCCCTCTGTATCTGCAGGTTCCATATCCTGCAGATTCAACCAACCATGGGTCAAAAATACTTAAAAAAAAACCAAAACTCCAGAAAGTTGATCCCTAAACAATATAGTATGACAACTATTTACATTGCATTTGCATTGTATTAGGTATTATAAATAATCTAGAGCTGATTTAAAGTAAACAGAAGGATGTGCTAAGGTTATATGCAAATACTATGCCATTTTTCTATAATGGGCTTGAGCATCCTCAGATTCTGGTATCTGAGGGGTGGGGGTTGTCCTGGAACCAATCCCTAGAGGATACAGAGGGACAACTGTACTTTCTTCACAATTTGTATCACTTAAGTGCAAAGACATCATTGAATAAAACCTCATGCGATATCTACAAAATAGTGGTAAGAGGAAAAAACCTAAGTATCAGGGTCTTCCATTTGTTATCCCTCTCCCAATCTTCTGGATCCATTAGTTTACACACCAACTAAAAATGGGATTCTAGGTAACGACACCTGAAAGCTTATCAATTAAGTCATCAATAGTGTAAACAAGAAGTTGAATGTCTGCTTTCTCTTTCATTCGGTGATCACTATGTTTTCGAAGGATGACATCTACATCTGTGCTGACCACTAGGTCAGCAACCTGTATGGACCTATGCCAAGGCACAATGTCATCCTTCATGCCATGGAGCAATCTTATAGGGCATGTCACAGGAATAGGGCTATGTAATAAGCAGTGGTTTTCAGCTTCTTTAATGACACTATACTGAATGTGATAAAATCCTTCTTCACTGTATTTTGATGGCAAGCTCCACACACCTTTCATCTCTATTTCCTTTTTTATCTATTGAAAAAAATTAGGAAAATAAAATACTTATTAAACATTAACACATGCAATAGTATTAAACAATCTAAGAATTTAAACAGTAAAAGGTGTACAACATAATATATATATATTTTTAGGCATTTTAATGTGTTTTTTAATTCCAAAAAATTTGATTCAGTCCAGCTGGGTGTGGCTCAGCAGTTGAGCATCGACCTATGATCCAGGAGATTGAGGTTCGATTCCTGGTCAGAGCACATGCCCCGGTTGCGGGCTCGATCCCCAGTCGGGGGCGTGCAGGGGGCGGCTGATCAATAACTCTCTCATCATTGATGTTTCTATCTCTCTCTCTCCCTCTCCCTTCCTCTCTCTGAAATCAATAAAGATATATTAAAAAAAGAAAAAGAAATTACATGCATACATTAAAAAAAAATTTGATTCAGTGAAACTGAGTGGTTGAAATTGATTTCAGTGAAAAAGCTGTATAACTGAAAGCTATACTTCTAAATATCTGTCTCAAATGATTTGAAATTAATGAAACTAAAAAAACTATAAAATGTATGAATCTATATTAATATCATGGGGTTTTCTGCATTAAAAAAACACATGTGAACCAAGTATTTAAAGCAAAATTGATACTCAGTTATCTCAAACTACTCAGAATTACTCCTAAATTTATAATTATTTCCAGTAATTAGAACTTAGTTTCACTGGTTATTAGATGAAGTGAAAACTATGCTAATTATTGAGACACAATAATAGCTGCATTTAAAGCATCCTTGCCCAAATAGCTGTTATCTGACACAGAAATGAATGTTGTTCATTTGAAGAACAAACTTTACAGAATGTTATATGCCCCAAATCCTCAAAAAGAGAAGTTCAGAAATAGCAAAAACAGTATTAACCAAAGAAAATGTACAATATGTGTAAGTTCTATACCAAGAAGAAACTGTATCAGGGCAACGTGGTTGAGAAGCTTGGATTCCAAACAGCTGTACATCCTGTCTGATGCCCTCTAGTGTCCAAAGAAGGAGACAATGATTAGTCAGTTAAGAGATAAGCCAAGTTCCTACACAATGAAAAATGCTGGGTCTTAATATCCCAGGACTAGAAAAGATAGTAAAAATCTCCTCTTCTGCTCCCTGGACACTGTTAAGGCTAGTTGTTTGTGTGGAAAAGAAAACATAGTGGCCCTAGTGTCCTGCTCTTTTCTTACTCCTGTTTTTACGTTAACAAGGACTAACATGTTTCTGTTAACTGTTTCCTGGTCTGATTTAGGATTAGCAAAGAAATGCTTTGATTTGCAGAATATAGACCTGCTCACTCGGGGTAGCTACATATACCAGATCCTCCCTTTGAGTGATGTGAACACACACGTACAGATAGATATGTACGTATGTATGTACATGTGAATGTAGATCTTGTCATTTGCCAATAACCCCCCTTCCCCAAAAAATCAACCTGTTAAATCAACTCCTTTCCAGTCTGCCATGTTCTTGAAATAATTTCTTACCACGAGAAGTGCTATATTAGCAAGTTAGAGGATGGAGTTAACAGGTCCAGGGTTTAGATGCAGAAAGATGCAATGGTAGGAAATTTTAGCAGCATGAGGATACTGAGCAACTATGTATGACAAACAACCAAGAAAGTGAAGAAAATTCAGAAATAGGAGGTAAGTGCAAGAAAAAACAGCCTCACAATTTTAGCCCTGAGAGGAAATCATAAAGAACCTGACTGTGCAGACAATGCTATTTCTTAAGGAACTGGGAAGAGCAACATAAGCTAAGAACAAACTTCACTTTCTAGAGCAGTGGTTCTTAAACTCTACCAGAAGGGCTTTAAAACAGCTTATTGGGCACATTCCCAGTTTCTGATTTAGTAGGTCACTGGTGAAGGTCAAGAATATGCTTTTTGATTTTTTTAATTGAATTAAATTTAATACAGTGAAATTGGTTAGTACATTATAGGTTTCAAGTGTACAATTCTATAATACACCACCTGTATATTGCATATATGCTCCCCACCCAAAGTCTAGTCTCCTTTCCGTCACCGTATATTTGCCCCCTCTAGCCTCTGAACCCCCCCTCTCCCTTTTCCTCTGGTAACCACCATAATGTTGTCTGTGTCTATGAGTTTATTTGTTACTTTCTGTTTTATAACCCATATATGAGGGAAATCACACAGTATCCCTATGTTTGCTGTTCACTGCATTACTCACTGTGGCCAAGACATGGGAACAACCTAAGTGTCCTTCGATGTGATGTGTGACTAGATAAAGAAGATGTGGTACATACATGCAATGGAATGCTACTCAGCCATAAGAAAAGATGAAATACTGCCATTTGCAACAACATGGAAGGATCTTGACAGTATCATGGTAAGTGAAATAAGTAAAGGAAAATGGACAAGAACCATAAGAATATGCCTTTCTAACAAGTTCTCAGGTGGTGCTGCTGCTGCTGCTAGCCCGCAGACTATATCTTCTGAGCCCCTGCTCTAGACTGTTTTTTCCTTTCTTTAATTTTCTGGGCCGCAGGCCTACCAGGATCTTAGTCCCACAGATAAAATTTAGATCCCTGAAAAAAGATGCCCAAGGAAAAATCAACAGATTGCAATAAATAAATAAAGAGCATACACAAAAATATACAACTATTACCTACTATTTCTTTATTCATGCAGACAACTGACGTGCTTGAACATATGTCTAAAAATAAAGTATAATACAGTAATTACCTTCCCAGTTATTTCAGAAACCTCATTCTACCATAACTTACTGAGGAACATGCTAATAATGAAAAGCATTTTTTTTCTTTTAAGGTGAGAATTAGGAGTAAAATAAAGAATGTCAACTAAGTGTCTAAGCCAGAAATGGCAAATCTCATCTCCTGTGTGTTCATTCTAATGGACTGACAGTGTGTGCTTGGAGGCTGCTTTCAGNAAGCCAGAAATGGCAAATCTCATCTCCTGTGTGTTCATTCTAATGGACTGACAGTGTGTGCTTGGAGGCTGCTAAAAAAAGTTTCATAATTGATTAGTCAAGTTTAATATGGTCATAAGAATAGGTACTATTTCCCATAAGTCACAAAATATGACAAGAACAGATCATGATGTATAATCCAAATAGTTAATGTAATTAATAAAGAAAATGCTGCTAAAAAAAGGAATTTAAAGTGTTATTTCATTAATATGGCTCAAATATTTGCCAGAATGAGTTGAAGGGACTGAAGAAAAGGAAACCTTAAACAAGAGACCAAATAGTAAAGAAAATAAAGAGATGGTATTTAAAGAAGTAGCTAAGACAAAAGATGGGCCAATATAGTAAGTCAAAGGAAAGATGACACATGAACAAATATTCAAAAGAAAAGGAAGCAGAAGAATGATAAGAGGTATACAGTGAGGTTGCCTGTGACTTACCTCAACAGGAAGCTCATTAAATTTTATCACGAGGCCATCTACAGCTGTAGCTATACCAATAAGAGCCACAACCTTTTGTGGCCGTGCAATCGCAGCATGAAACATAAGCCATCCACCGAGGCTAGATCCAACTAATATCTATAAATAAAAGTATGTATAGTTTTAAAGAGTAATTTCTTTTCCATTTCTAAATGGGGAGTAATTTAATAATAGAATGTATGTACTTTCATTTCATATCCTTTGGCCCCCGGACTTCTAATATTTGATACAAAGTAGAATTAAAATTATGATTACTTTTTGTTAAAGTATTAGGTTTATAATGGAGAATTATAAAATTAATATAAAATTTGTAAAAATAAGTAAAATGGTACTTACATTTTATGAGAAAGTAAAAATGAGAGAATTTTAAATCAAATATCAAAACTGGTTAACATTTAAATAAATGTTCATATCAAAGAAACAGCTCAAATATCATGAGGTTATCATCAACGATTACATCATATTTAACAAAAACAGTCACCTGTGGCCCTTCAGCCAAGTCATCAATTATAGAAAGAACATCTTTTCTCCATTTTCCCACTGTACATTCTTGTAAATTACCATCTGAATTTCCAACTCCTGAGTAATCAAACCTGGAAAAGAGAAAATACATATCTATATCTAGATATCTATCTATATAATTGTTTCTCTGCTTTTAAGGAATATAGCATATTCATCATTATACACTGCCTAAAATATATTAAAATGATATATGTTTCAGAAAATCCAATTGGCTTAACTGTCAAATACTCCCTAGAGCCACTCGCTTTGTGACGTCCTCCACTGCTGGTAGCCTGGTCCACATCACTATCCTCTCTTGGCCCTCATAGACTATTCCCCACATTGTAGTCAGCGATCCTTTTAAAACAAAAATCTTGTCTTGCACAAATCCCCCAAACGTTTTCTATAATTTAAAAATAAAACCCAAGGTCCTCACCACACTCTGGCCCCGACTCTTCTCTGATCTCATTCCTCACTGCTCTCCCCTCCCAACCATTTTCTCACTTTCCTTCTTGAAGTTAATGGAAACCACCACCCGTATTCCTGCCCCAGGAGTTTTACATCAGCTTTTCTCTCCACATGGAATACTCTACCTCCAGATACCCACTTAGACTGTTCCCTCACTTGATTCAGGTCTTTGGCCCAAATTTATACCCCCAGAGACGTCTCCTCTGACCATTCAGTCTTAAATGGTGCTTCTTCCATCACTCTGTTTCCTCACCCTGCTTTATTTTCTTCATAGCAAATACTGCCATTTAACATTACATATGACATTTGATTATTTTCTGTGACCTGTCTCCCACATTAGAATGGAAGCTCCATATGGGCACAGGCTTTGTTTTATGTACCACTGCTTTCCCAGTGCCTAGGCCAGTACCTTGCACATGGTGCTTACTTAGTACATACTTTCTGAATCAGTGGAAGGTTGAGAATCAAACTCATCACCAGCCCATCCACTTAGTCTCCTTCTCCTTCCAACTTCCTAGTTCTCCTGGCTCAAAGTCGGCCTGATCTGTGAATTTCACCTCTCAAGGTCTCAATTCAATAAATCATGAAGCATCATACCACTCCTGTAGATAAAAACCCTAGTCATACTGAAGTACTCCCAAGTCCCAGATAGGCCCATTCATAACTCTGAGCCTTTGCATGGTGTCCCAATGTCTAGACCTTCCTTCCCCACCCAAATTCCTAGTCATGTCACCTCCTCTGAGGAACTTTCTCTGACATATATGCCCTGTTTAGTACCAGTCAATCACTTTCTTTTATATGTACTTAACACTTTTCATACTGTGTGTTGTAATCAAGTTTTGAATATCTGTCTCTTTGAATAGAATGTCAGTTAAGGGCATACTGTCTTACTCAAGTTTGTTTTTCCAGGGTATAGGACACTGCCTGCCCTGTAGCATTCTCATTTACTCACATTTTTTTCTCACATTCATTCTTTTCTTTGCAGTTTGGTGCAGGTCTTTGTCACCTTAAAGTCAGCCTATCAAAGTAGCCTCCTAACTGTGCCTCTATCACTCTATTCTCTCTTCAGATGGATCCACTTTATAACTGTCCGGCTTTTTCTAAGATTATATTGATATGGCATTAACTTCAATAGCTCTCTGTGACAAACAACATAAAAATTTAGTGCTTTGGCCTGTTTTTTTAAGACCATTATATTCTGGCCACCTGAGATTGACCTCTATCATTTCACCAAAGGAAACTACTGCTTTAGCCAAATCGATCAACTTGCTGTTTCTAAAATAAGCTCTATGTTTTCTGTCTCTATTTCATGCCTCATACTATTTCCTTCACCCAAAATACCTTCTCCCACCACCCTTATTACTAATATCCTCTCTCAGAAGTTAGTACAAGTGAATCTCTTTTGCTGGAAAGGATTCCCAGACAAATTGAAAAAAAAAAAATCTCTAACTAATGAAACTTCTATAGAGTTCATTTTTATCAGTCACAATCAAATTATTATATCCTGCTTTATAAGACAGTTTGTGTACGTATGTGTTTCATCATTCCTCTGAGACTGTAGGATCTTGGATGAATAAAACATTATCTTATTTCTGTCTTTGCTTTCCCCATGTGGCCATGTACGTAAAGCTCACACACCGAGTATTATAATATATTCTAAGTGAATACAAATGGAAGGTAAAAGTAAAAATAATTACTTTATTCAAATTCAAAGCTTTCATGTTTTTCTTATTCTTAAAATCTGATAAAAACTAATAAATCCTAGTATGTTTATTATACATCTAAGAGTATATATGTAATATATAGTGTATTTTCTTACAGATAAGGGATTTATAAGTGATGGAGAAAGAAGAAATTAAAATTTTCTTTAGATATATGGTGAAATGATTTTGGATCCTTGGGAAATAGGGTAACGAGGCAGCTACTGAAGTCTAAATCACAGTTATTATTTCCCCTCAGTCCAGGGTACGGAGGGGACAGACCAGGGAAAAGAGGAGAGAAAGGCACCAATTAGTCTTTNGCAGCTACTGAAGTCTAAATCACAGTTATTATTTCCCCTCAGTCCAGGGTACAGAGGGGACAGACCAGGGAAAAGAGGAAAGGCACCAATTAGTCTTCCTTTTCCCCTTCTAGATAGGCAATCAGACATTTCTCCTTGCTGCATCTTTTATGGTTCCCCTTCCAAATATATGGTAAAGATGCAGAACATGCTTAAAGACCCTTCATAAAGGAAATTAAAACCATTTAGTGATACTAATAGGTTACAAGTAAGAACCCTAACAAAAGTTAAAGATAATTCAAATACATTCAGCAGTTTTAGGACTTTCAAACACAGTAACAAAAGTCTATCCTAGCAGCCTCAATCCTCTAGGACATATTACCAAATCTAGAATTAAATATTCTATTAGAAATAACAATGATAGAATACCAGCCCTAAAACATCTTAATAGTCCTTAGCTCTGACTCCATTTTATTTTAGGCATGGTGAAAGGACATTAGGAAAACATTTTCAGCCCTAGCCGGGTTAGCTCAGTAGTTAGAGTTTCGGCCCAAGGAGTGAAGGGTCCCAGGTTCAATTGTAACCAAGGGCACGTACTTTGGTTGCAGGCTCAATCCCCAGCCTGGGTTGGGACGCCTGTGGGAGGCAACCAATCACTGTCTCTCTCTCACATCGATGTTTCTCTCTCTCTTTTCCTTCCACCCTCTCTGAAAAGCAATGGACAAAATATCCTCAAGTGAGGATTAAAAAAAAAGAAAACAATTTCACACAGCCATATGTACTACTTGTTGTATAATATACAAAACTAACCATTTCCTCACTCAAGATCTAAATTTTATAGCCAAAAACCACAAGAAAAGTAAACTGAGAAACTGAAGTATAAATAGAAGATAAAATTTCTTATAACAAGCTAAGTGCAATCAGTATTTAATAGTGATTAGACTGTAATGGAGTTTTGATAAAAGCAAATAAAAACAAACTTGATCAACCTAAAAATTTGTAGTGAAGGGCTATACTTTATAAAGGTTTATAAAGATATTCATAGGCTACATTTAATACCCTACCACTTAATAGTCGATAAACATTATACTTTTATCATGATTAATATACTTTTAAAATGTATTTCACATGTATCTAAAATGCAGAAAATCCACATATGTCTTATAGGGAGATAGGAACTGTATGTAGTTCTCACAACCTCAATTTTAACTCAAGAACTGGTAAAAATGTGATTTGTTGATTCAAAATCTGTTAGGGACAAAAAAGGGAGAATGATGGGAGAATGACGTGTTCATGATGTTTTGCTGAGGCTAATCTCCTTCCTAGAGAGCTCTTCCTTCTTACCCCAAACCTAACTATTCTTCAGTGTTTCTTTATAAAGACTTTCTCCAGTTTTCTTTCTCTCACCTGGTACAATAAAGAGTACTGCTCTTTTGACACTATCACATTCTGATGGGTATTTCTGCCAAATTTCTCATCAATATAGATGATCCTGTTTCCCAACCCCAATAAAAGGNTTCTGATGGGTATTTCTGCCAAATTTCTCATCAATATAGATGATCCTGTTTCCCAACCCCAATTCCTTTAAGGGCAATAACCGTGTTTTATATTTCACAGCACCCAGTACAGTGCTATAAAGCATACACCAGTCTTCAGAATAACAGTTAAGTCACAACAGATTTTTTTAAGAGGTCTGAGCATGAAAAGGAAAACCACTGAGTTAATTTAACAAAAGAAATAAGACTAAATCCATATAACTGACAATTGCTGCTAATATATTAAACAGATAAAGTTTAAAAGTTTTTAACTTTCATTATTTTATTTCTAAAAGCCATATTTTCTAGATCTGTTGAGCAAATGTTAGTGGAACTACTCTTTTCTAGGCTGTTAGTGCTGGAAAAGAATTCAGAAATTACCTTAATCCAACCTCCTCCTTTTTTTAGGGTGTTTTAGGTCCAGTGTTTATTAACTGGCTCATCTTGTCACAGTTATTGCTAGAATTGATTCTAGAACCCATGTTTCTTGAATTCCAGGCCAGTGCTCTTTCTATTAAACCATACTATCTCTTCTGGCAAATTAGGCACTAAATAAATGATTGTTATAGGTAAACAAACCTAATAACAACAACATAAACATGTTATCTTACTAAAATAATTATCAGCATAAAATATTACAAATTGTGAAATCAAGTTTTAGTTAAACACCACGTATCTCCACTTATGCTTATACATATTCAGATTACGGGAGTGAGGAGAAAGAGAAAACACAGAGGAAATGTGAATTATACAATACTAATTTTACAATACAGGAGGTCTTCCAATGCTTTGTTTAAGGTTGTTTCATTATAATGTAGATGATATGTCATAGGAATTTAACTCTTGTTTATATCAATTAGTCTATGGTAAAATTGGTTTGATTATGTCATTTCATTTAAAGTTGCAGAACTTATCAATGATGTTAAGTGAGGACTTACTGTACTTTTAAATATATATATATATTATTTTTAAATACCTATTTTAAAAAGTAAGGTAATAAACAGTGGTCAAATAAAAGTCCTTACGTCCTTGACAGAAAACCACAATAAAATTACAAGAGATTACAAGAAAGCCAACTAGTACATTGGTTTGTTGTTATATTACTGTATCTAAAGAGCTTAGTTTACCACTAGTTTCCTCTCCTGCCAGCACGAGTGTGGCTCAAAGACTTTTAAAAAAGGTCTTTTAAAGGTTGCATTTACAAGCACCCTAAATCACAAGAAGAAAGTTTACAACCATTAAACAAATTAACCTATAAAAATGCTGGTATTTGCTTTAATTGGTTAGAGCAGAAGTAATTCTCCGCTGCCATGCTAAATGGTAGTAATATTTTCTCTGAAATGTGTTGTTCCTACCTTATATAGGCGTGACCTAGAGATTTGCAAAACTCCTCAATTGCCAATGCTTTTGTACCATTCATATTAGAAATATAACCAGGGATGAAGATAATTCCTGGACTTTTGCCTTTTAGTTTCGTATAAGCCAGTTTTGGAAGGTCTGGTCGACTAAGGAAAGAGACTGATGTCTTTTGTCTGCAAGCTAAACAAAGTACACAAAACATAAACCATAGTTTGCAAATACAGTTTTTAGAAAACCATATATATATATATATATATATACACACACACACACACACACACACACACACANATATATATATATATATATATATATATATATATATATATATACACACACACACACACATATTTTCAATCTTAACTTTCTTAACCTGTCAAACTGATGTCAAATACAATTTCCACTTGATAGAAAAAACAAAAACACTGAAGTGTTAGTCACAAGTGTGTACATATCTTTTAAAATCATTTCAAAATCAGTACCTTCTTTGAGCAAGATCCAACCTTGCTTCTTCCAAAATACGTGATGAGGTGGAAATTTCAAGGCAACAAGACAGAGAATCATCAAAAATGTTTTCCTGTTCCTGCTCTATCATGTCCTAAACAACATCAATCAACATTCAGATTTACTTACACGAATTTTAGCCCTCTCGTGAACTTTTCTGTCTTCTTTTTAATTTTTTTAATGTTTGAGGAGTTTCACATCCTCTCCTTTCTGGTGGGGAGAGGGAGAACAGAGTTTGGTATGCCCTTGGGGGAAACAGTTTCAAAGGGGGAGGTGCTCTGCCCCTTTTATTACTGACTCCCTCTCCACCCCTAAATCATGGGCCATGGTAATAGCCAATCACAATAGTATCATTTGGGGGGAAAGATTTCTCATAGGACTCAGGATCACTGTGTTTTATTGTTGGTTAGGCTTTCTGTGACTGGTACACACAGATCTTAATGCAATTTAAGTACAACGGCACAACTGGTAGACCTTACAAGGTTACTCCACTTCGTTGTTTTTAAAGTTCTTTCCCCACTATAAAATCAATACTTGCTCTTAAAAAAAAGTAGAAAGATATTTTTAAAAAATTCATTTATAAGCCCACCTCCTCCCTCCAAAGAAAGTAGGTTTGTGTATTTCCTTACAGTGTTTTTCTTGACGGAGAAAATCTTATTTTATATTACATGAAAACTTCCTCCACTTTATTGTGGCTAACAAAAACTTCTGTCTCTTCCAAGTGTGCTGATAAAGTTTACCTCGTTCTGGATTTAAGAAATTGATTGAAAAACATTAAATTGGAGACATTAAAGCTATTTCTTTTACACGTAAGCTTGTTTCAAAGTTTTAATGTGTAGTGAAATATTCCAAATTTAAAACTTTTAGTGAAAAACTGGGCTAACAGGAGCCAGTTATGTTGGCTGGCAGACTGTATAAGCAAAATGTTTATTTCCCATTTCCTTAGCTCAGCACTCAAAAATCCTTCCTGTCCTCTTAATATTACTTCCCAACACAGGAATGTCTCCGTGAGACAATAATTTATTTAACCTTGGTAAGTTATAAGTGGACAAGTTAACATTATATCCATAAATGATGTTTGCACAATAAGGATTAGCTCAAAGCTTGGTGCCTAAGAGCTCAATGACTGGTTGCTAAATAGATGAAAGAGTGTTACAGTCTTTAATGAGATTGAGTAGTTAATAAAATGACATACTCTACTTTGCTAGAGAAACATCTTCTGATTGTGCACAATTAAATGTAAGTTAAACTGATGATAAACATTTAAAAATTTAAACTCAAAACGAAGAGTATCTGCAATGACAGCTCTCATTCCAAGCCATCATGCATCCGAGCGGCCAAGGTGTGGACGCCACAGAACCCAAAACTAAAAAGGCATAATTCAGAGAGACTCTATAGTATAGGGGAGGGTGGGGCCGGGAATGGAGTGGGACGGGGAGGAACCAAACACAAGGTAAAGAAAATATTCAAGGGCTCTGATTTCTGGTTTAAATTCCAGTTTCCTTGGTCACGTAATGATTATGGTTTTCCCTGAGCCGGAGCACCCAGAAGACAAAACTGGAAATTAGGCTTGATCTTAATACGCTTCCTACACTCTCAAGGTGTAAATCGCAAACCGAAGGGGGCGGGGCTCAGCACCTCC